AAATTTGGAAATTTTACAAATTTTTGTCATACTACACAATTATTATATGATTAAAAAAATGAAATAATAGTTTAATTCTATTTTCTATCATATAGATAGAAAATAGAATTATTTACTAGAATAAACTCATATTTGTATTTGTGCGCTGAAGTGATTAACAATTAGTGTAGCTTCAACAAGTTTTGATACTTCACAGGTTTCATGTTCTAAGGCATTCAATTTTTCAAAGATTTTTGTTTTAAAGAACTTCAAGTGATTAAACTGTGTAACCTACTTGTGAAGTTGAAAATTACATTATTATTGGAATAAGTAAACTGTGTTAATGATTATGCCAAACAATAACAAAATATTATTTAATCTTTTTGATGTGTAGATCTTCATTTTCAAGTAGAGTTTTAATATATTTAGTGTTTAATGTTTAACATATGAAAGATTTCACATGAAATATTTCATACTTATTGTAATAAGATATCTAGTTCTTTCTATTTACTTAATTTTATTTTNGTAATACCTAGCAAAGTTGTTTTTTTTTTACTGGTAACGGTCATTGACAGATGGTTGAAAGTGGCCATTGGCTTTTTGAAAGTACAGACAATCATGCCACATGGCATGATTTGCATAAAACTATGGCTGGTGATGGCTAATTGGTTGGCCGGGAATCACGCCACATCACATTTGCATAGTGCTATACTTATTGTAATAAGATATCTAGTTCTTTCTATTTACTTAATTTTATTTTATTCATAATTATAAAAATACAATGTAAATCAGTGATTAAAGTGTTTGTTGCAGGTTATTAATTGCGATTTTGAAATTATTTGGAAAAAATAAGTTACTGAATGAACAAATTGAATGTAAAAAGAAACTTCAAAAATTAATATTAATGCATTTAGACTTTATTCTTCATCTTATCAAAATGTAAAAAAAAAAAAAACTCTGAATATCCTAAGAAAATTAAACAAAATAATACTGTTGATTACATTATTAGTTTCCTTGTCTGTAAAATTTAAATTAATTTTTCATATTACAGTAAACTCTTGCTAATTTGGCCTCTCAATTATTTGTCATATGCCAGTGTGATTGCCTATGCATTTCCATTATCATGAAAATGTTAGTCCCACATCCTGTTTATTTGGATTTAATTTCTGTGTACAATATTGCAAGTCAGTGTGTCATATTATTTGCCTACCTGTCTCCAAAAGAAATTAGTACTAAAGGGCAAAAGGTGACATTATTCATTACATTGCATTTAGGCAGGATCTATACACTCAATAATCTGGTACGCATTCTAATTTGATATACCTCTGTGCAAGGAATGGCCTGATTAGCAAGAGTATAGTGTATTAAAATCTGATAAACTTTAATTTTAGTAAAATTATGAAATTATGTAATATTTATTGAATTGGCGATNAAAATATTTAAAAGTTGGGTAGTTTTTTCATTATCTTTCCTTATAAAATATAAGTTTCTTTTAAACTTAAAAAAAATGGAGTGAAATAAAATTTAAATTATATAAATAATTAATAGTTTTGTTAACTAAAAAGTATAACTTTAAAACCAAATTGAAATATTGTTTTTCTATTTACTAAATTCATTGGTTTACTCAGTATCAAAATCTGTATCAGTAAAATGTAATGTACTTTAACTCAGCATGGAATAATTCAATTCTATTTCTAACATGTCATTGACATAATGTTATAACTGTCAGGGACCATCAAGACAACTTTTTTTAAAGATTCATTTGGAGGAAAAATATAATACATTCATTTACAGATAGATATAGAATAATGGAGTTAGAACAGAATGTTATGTGAGATTCCAAATTTATTTAGAACAATATTTTTTTCAAAAATAAAATAACAAAATTTAACTTGATCTTGCATCAAAGTGAATTAGGTCTAACTTTCCATGTGACAGCTCTTCCCCTCACAAAATCAATTTTCCAAGGTGATAACTGAACTGTCATTCATTTTCCATTTCCATCAAATGGAAAAAACACTGAAATTGTCTTATTGATTAAAAAGGACCAACTGCCAAAACTGGTTGTTGGTTATCCTGCAAAGAGGGCCACGAGGTTGGTGAAAAGGAAGGAGACTAAAGGCTTGCAGACACATTCTTGGAGAGATGCATTTGAGGAGAATCAGTAGAGCCTAATCATCTAATTACTTTTGACCACTATGTCCAATGAGTGAACTGTTCTTCTCTGAAGCAATGGCCCAAAGTTGAGCCAGCCAAGACTCAAGTCCATAGAGGTCAAGGTTAATAAATGTCCAAAAATCAAGACCATCTAGCCTACCAATGATTATTACATGCAAGATGAGATTAGGGTGCTGCATGCTCTCAGCAAGATTCCTTGTATAATTTTTCTCCTTTTTAAAATTAAATAAATTCTGTTTTTATGTATTTGAACATCTGTTACTCTCTATTGCCAAACCACATGACACTTGTCTTTTGAAAAGCAATGTCAATCAAATCTTTCTGATGAGGTTTGCCCAAAATCAACTGCTTAGACTTGATATAATTGCACATAAATATATAGGACAAAACTTTACAGTTATAATAATGTATAGAAAAACTTCACACTTTGTTCATAAAAATAATTTAGAAATTAAATGTAGCAGAGTAGAGTGTATAACATTTGTTCATAATCTGCTGACTCTGTAGTTTGAAGAACTAAAATAAAATATAAAATATTACTTTCAGAAAGCATACAAACAAAAATATGTTACAAAAGAAAATATTTGATATTTTATGGGATCCTGATTGTTGTTAGAAGTGTATAGAACAGGGGTGGCCAAACTGTCATAAGAGCCATACATCATCTATTAGAAATATGCAAGAACCACATCCTCTTTTGGAACAGTATTTTACATACAGTATATAATGACTATATAAATTCAACACAGCATTATCACAGTATTTAGATAGTAATTTTATGAAAACAGCAAACTTATATCAAACTTGAAATCTTTCAGTCTATTAAATTTCTATATGTTATCTATATGTATCAATAATGAATACATATTTTGTGTGACATACAGGTATCCCTTGATTAATGTGGTTAATTAATCTTTCAATACTATCACGTTAATCAAACACAGTGGTATCTTGGTACTTGATGAATAATCATGACTCACTAGAACAAATTTTCAGTTAATAACAAACACTTTTATTTTAATAAACGAAAATAGCAAATTCACTAATACCTTATTTGCTGAGAAAAACACATTAATGTTAAGTAAAGACAGCTGTTAAAGCCGCATTAATTGAAACCTTTTGCTGCATATAAAGAGGGATTGTTGTAATTAATTTTGAATATTAATCAAATCTCTTATTAAACAAAAGAAAGGGATACCTGTATTCACTACAATTTATTATGAAATTGTACCATAACCATCAGCTTTAATGATTCAAGGACAAAAGTTCCAAGTGAAAAATATAATGAACAACTAAAAAGTTAAGAGTAGTGTTTTCAGAAATATTGAAGAAATTCAGTATAATTATTAACATAAGAAGATTAACATAGTTTATTCTTGAAACATGAAAATAAATAAATCAGTAGTGGAAAATTATAAAAAATAAAATTTAACAAGTTTTTAAAAACAATTGAGATTTGAACTGAAAATAGTCATGTGATATGGACTCTTAGGCCAAGATGAAACCACTATGCCATTCACTCAATTTTTTTGTTTTTAAATGAAAGAAATAAAATAGAATTTAATTTTTTAAAGCTCTCTACATTATTGGCATTGAGAGCTTTTTTTTTATATCCATTGGCTTGATCAGGATCACAATGAGGATGACTGGATGGTGAGGGATAGAGCCCAACATATTCAGAACCAGTGCTGTAACTAGCTATTTCTGTAACCTGTGCAAGAATTTGCATTTAGGCTCCTTAATTAATTAGATTTGGGAAAATAATAAAACAAATACATGCATTTTGGGCCCCCCTTCCAAGTGCACCCTGTGTGTACACCTGTTGCACCTGCCTAGTTACAGCACTGTTCAGAACAGACTGCTCATGAATAATTTCTATGATTTTTCAACTGCCCACATTCAATCTGGGTCACCCAGAGTGGTATGTTGAAGCCTTAATTACCTCAATCATCTGACCAACATCAATATGCCATTCACTCTTATGAATATACAGTGGAACCTTGCTTAACGAGCACCTCGCATAATGAGCAAAACAAATTGTAAAAAAATGACTCACTTAACAATTCAATGACCAATGAAAAATTATTTATTTATAATTATTAAATTTAATACGAGATAGCAGCATAACTCTAGCTATGCTCAGCTTACTCAGCCTACCTCTAGTCAAATGAATTAATTTCTAATATTTAATTATTGCCTTTACATAGCCCAAGATTTTGGCATATCATTTGGCATGTTTATCAGACATATTAGCTGTGATTTTTTTTTTTTTTCGTTTTCTTCATATCAAATTTGCATTCAAGTTGGTTCATTCCATGCTAGAAGAAAAGATGAAGATTATTCATGCTCCTTACAATGTATATTGTATAATTCTCATTGAATAAACATTATACATAAAATATTTGAGTATTTTTTTTCAACATGGAATGTTTTATCGTATTTTACATTAATTTATATGGGAAAAATTGTTTCGCTTAGTGAGTATTTCGCATTACGAGTAAGATTCTGGAATGAATTGTGCTTGTTAAGTGAGGTTCCACTGTATTTGTGTCAAAGCATATAAAACCAATAAATCCAACTTGATTCTTTTTTATTAAAACTTTATCATCAAGGATATTGATTATTATGTATAGGATTTAATTTCACATAAATTTTATTTTAAACATAAAATATTTAAAAGTTGGGTAGTTTTTTCATTATCTTTCCTTATAAAATATAAGTTTCTTTTAAACTTAAAAAAAATGGAGTGAAATAAAATTTAAATATGTATCTTCAAGCACTAGTTTTTGTATTATTAAATAATGAATTAAATATAAATTTAATTATTATATATTCAATTTTTAGGTGTTTTATTTAGTATTGAAGTAACATCTGTGTTTTTTGCTGTAAGAAATTATTGGAGGGGCTTTTTTGCTGCTTGTTGTGGTGCAATGATTTGGAGATTATTAGATGTCTGGTTAAAAGAGGAAGGTAATTTTTTTGAATGAACTAAATTTGTATGAACTTTTTATTTAACCTCTACTTAATGTATCATACTTACATTGTTATAATTTAGCATAAGATTTTGTAACATACAATCTGTCAAACTTTCAGCCTAATTTAATATGCAATTAATTTTTTATTTGAATTTGAATCCATATAATATGTATATGTTGTAATAATAAAATATTAAAATGTTATATATATACAATTGTTCAATAGAGGATGAAGTTTCCCATTTTTCACAAATAATTTTAATACTTGTCAGTAATACTTATTATATACAGGACATATATTGATTTAATTATAATAAATAATTAACATGAAATTAATACTGTTAATAACAAAGAAATTTCTATGTTAATATAATAACTTAATGAAATGTGTTAGTTCTTAATAATTGTATTGCTATAAAATGTATTCTTATAAATTATACAATAATTGAATTACAATAACACTGTATTTTAGCTATTAAGTAAATTAATAGTTTGAATTGTAAAGAATAATTCTGTTGAAATATTGTTGGTAACTTTTGTTACAATTAATTTATTTTCATAAACAAACAACTCTACTAAACCCTTAATAAACCTTATGATATCAAAGCCAACCATTGCCATATGTTATGTACGGTAAGTGGGAGTTGTGGGTTCGAGTCCTGCTCTGAGCCGATTTCTTTTCTTCCAGTAGTTCTAAATTATTTAATTAAAAATTATAATTATTAAATTTATTAAGAAATGGCACCTAACGCCTTCCTCTAGTGTCAAATTATTTGGTAATTGATTAACACTATAGTTGTTATTAGCCCAACAACATATGGCAGTGGTTGTCTTTGATAATTTATTTTCATTTATAATGTATATTTATGCTAAAAATCAGTTTAAATGAAAAAATACAGGATGTATGTGAATTATCTATACAACTTTTATTGCTACAAATAAAAAAAATTTGTAATTGGAAGTCAAAGAAATACAGATAATCTCGTGACATAAAAACTGAAAGTTTCACAGAGTAATTCTGCCATACTGGATTTTGATCATGTGTGATTCTGTCAATGAAAAATTTCCAGACAGGTGGGATAGTCATGGTAGTGCAATTCCTTGGCTGCCTAGTTCAATGGGTATCATGCTGTATAAAATTTTCTCGTTGGGATATGTTAAAAACCATGTGTACAACACCCCAGTGACATTAGTAACTTGGAGAGAATCACAGTTGCAATTGAAACTGTTAATTTAAACATGCTGCAGCACATATGATCAGAATTGGAATATCATGGATATTTGTGTGAGACTAATGGCTCTTATGCAAAGTGTTTGATTTTTATGAAATAGAAAAATCTTCAAAGTTTTTGTGAGTCAGGTGTTACATAAATGGTATGTCTGTGCTTGATAATACATTTATTATTTAAAAGTAAAAAGTTATGTAGATAATTCTTGTACACCCTGTATTTTATTTAATTTTTTAAAATTATTTTATTTGTTCAAATTAATTTTTAAATTTATTTATTTTTCAGAAACAATTATTGCACTGTATAAAACAAATTTTCAAACTGATTTTCCATTTGATCCTCAAGAATTAATTGCATTTGCATTAGTTGGGTATGATTTCCTAATATTAATAGATTGAAATTGATTTATGTAGAATGTTATTGTAATTTTAGTTATAAAGTCTAAGATGTTGAAATAATATAAAAGAAATTATTAAAACATTTTTATGCATAAACAAAATTTTATATAATAATGGAAATTTTCTCTAAAATAATATAAAATTTAAAATTCAATATGAGTAAGAATTGTATGAAATAATTGTTACAGTATGAATAACCATAATAAATATGTAATAAATATGTATGAAATAAGAAATTATTTCCTTAATATAAAATATTTATTGATTTGTTTTAGCATAAGTTGTGGTTTGGCTGGAGCAGCATTTGTATGGCTTCACAGGAAAATTGTTCTTTTTGTAAGGAGTCGTAAAAAGTTGAACAGGTTTCTTCAGAAAAAGTATGGTGACTATTTTTTGTGTAAAGTATTTTTAAAATTATAATGTTAATTTAATTTTTAAACTTATATTNTATGTATATATAAAAATATTTATTTATTTGACTTATATCTTTCTTTGAAATTGATTGAATTTGTTTCCAATGTTCATTAGAAGTTTATAACATCAATAGATATAACAATTTGTTAGAACAAGTTGAATTATCATTTTTATGTATTTAAATTTTAATAAAATTATAAATTAGGTAAGAACTGTATGAGTTAAAAGCTCTGAAAACATCTTCATAAACCAAACTTGGACTTTAATTAATTATTCTTCTACTTAGGTTTGATGAACATAACAAATATTAAAAATACCTAATTTTAAAGTATTCTGATAAATCCAATGCATCTAGAGTTTAGCATTAGATTTTCTATTTGTTTTTATAACAAATAGAAAATCATAATATTATACTAAATTCAATAATGAGCAGCTTTCTTAATCTTGCATTGGTGTAGTCAGTGAAAGCCATGTATTTGGTGTGGTGGAGCTCATAAAATTAAATTCAAAAAGTAAGTTATAATGGTCATATTAATATTTGTTATTTAGAAAACTGCATAAATGTAAGAATTCTTTGAACTATCTCCTATGTATTGTAATCACTCATATTTTCACCTACCAACTGCTTATCATAGCAAGTTTTTCAAATAACCATTCTGTGACTCTGGTAAAGGAACTTTTGACATTTTTCACATGTTTCATTACATTTGGCTTGGACATATTTGCTTGGACAGTTCCCATAACATTTATTTCCATAATTTTTCTCAGAGATTGCAGTGCCTTCTATAAACCTTTAGATTCTTCTTTTCAGTTCTCACAATAGCCTTTGTATATATGCCATTCTCTTCCTTCAATTGAATTTGAACAAATCTGAAAATACAAATTTGGAAATTTTACAAATTTTTGTCATACTACACAATTATTATATGATTAAAAAAATGAAATAATAGTTTAATTCTATTTTCTATCATATAGATAGAAAATAGAATTATTTACTAGAATAAACTCATATTTGTATTTGTGCGCTGAAGTGATTAACAATTAGTGTAGCTTCAACAAGTTTTGATACTTCACAGGTTTCATGTTCTAAGGCATTCAATTTTTCAAAGATTTTTGTTTTAAAGAACTTCAAGTGATTAAACTGTGTAACCTACTTGTGAAGTTGAAAATTACATTATTATTGGAATAAGTAAACTGTGTTAATGATTATGCCAAACAATAACAAAATATTATTTAATCTTTTTGATGTGTAGATCTTCATTTTCAAGTAGAGTTTTAATATATTTAGTGTTTAATGTTTAACATATGAAAGATTTCACATGAAATATTTCATACTTATTGTAATAAGATATCTAGTTCTTTCTATTTACTTAATTTTATTTTATTCATAATTATAAAAATACAATGTAAATCAGTGATTAAAGTGTTTGTTGCAGGTTATTAATTGCGATTTTGAAATTATTTGGAAAAAATAAGTTACTGAATGAACAAATTGAATGTAAAAAGAAACTTCAAAAATTAATATTAATGCATTTAGACTTTATTCTTCATCTTATCAAAATGTAAAAAAAAAAAAAACTCTGAATATCCTAAGAAAATTAAACAAAATAATACTGTTGATTACATTATTAGTTTCCTTGTCTGTAAAATTTAAATTAATTTTTCATATTACAGTAAACTCTTGCTAATTTGGCCTCTCAATTATTTGTCATATGCCAGTGTGATTGCCTATGCATTTCCATTATCATGAAAATGTTAGTCCCACATCCTGTTTATTTGGATTTAATTTCTGTGTACAATATTGCAAGTCAGTGTGTCATATTATTTGCCTACCTGTCTCCAAAAGAAATTAGTACTAAAGGGCAAAAGGTGACATTATTCATTACATTGCATTTAGGCAGGATCTATACACTCAATAATCTGGTACGCATTCTAATTTGATATACCTCTGTGCAAGGAATGGCCTGATTAGCAAGAGTATAGTGTATTAAAATCTGATAAACTTTAATTTTAGTAAAATTATGAAATTATGTAATATTTATTGTTTCCAAGTTTTTTCTTATAATATAATTTTTAAATTTTATTTTAATAGTCGTCTGCTGTACCCTACTCTCATAACATTATTTATATCATCATTAACATTTCCATTAGGCTTAGGACAATTTATGGCAGCTGAGGTAATTATTTTATTTTATTGCTGCTTAAAATTAAAAATGTTTTTATAAGTAATAATAACAAATATATTTATTATTTTTAGCTTTCAACACAAGAGGCTGTTAGAGAACTCTTTAGTAATATGACATGGAAAGATCATACAGTTGATGGAAATGTGGCATTTATTGTTAGTCACTGGACCACACAATACACAAGTTTTTATGTAAATCTTGTAATTTTTATACTTGTTACTGTAAGTTTATTTTATTTTTCCTATATATAAAATATAATTACTCATAAAGCAATTTTGGTATTGATTTGCATTGTTTCATAATAAATGTAACAATTATAAAATGTTTTCATTTAACAGTTTTTAACAACAGCAATTGCAGCTACATTACCAGTTCCTTCAGGAGTTTTTATTCCAGTATTTAAAATGGGTAAATTTGAATAAATTTTCATTCTACAATATGAGTACATAACAAAATACTGTGAGTGATCAGTTAATGAACAGTTCAGACTGTGAATAAATCGAACAACGAACACTTTTGTAACAGATTTTTATGTTCGAACAACAAACACCTGACAAAACAAACACAAGAAGAAGCAACGCTGCATTTAAGATTTATAAAACTATATTTTAATGGCATCTATGCATGGTTTATGGAACAACTTTCACAGTTATATACATAACCTTTTTTGCACTAGTTAATTTCTGTTCTTTGATTTTTTAAGTGCTTTTATGAACTTTTTATTTAAAAAATGGCAATATTATGGGGCTGAAAAAGAGTGGAGTGTCAAGAACTGTGTTCACTATAGAAACTAAGCAAGAGATAATAGTCAAGGTAGAGAGTGGGCAGAAGATATCTGATATCGTAGGCAGATAACTTCAACAGGTCTAAAGTAGATACAATTTTAGCTAAGAAAGATATAATCAAAAAGACTCAAGCAGATACTCATTACTCACTGTGCATAAAACAGATGAATAGATGAAAACATATGAACAGCGAGTAGTAAGATAAAGGAGTAATGAAAATCGCATCTGAGAAACAAAGATATGCCATCTGTGAAAAAATAGAGAGATTGCTTTTAGTTTGTTATTACTTGTAAGTAAACATAAATAAAAATTATATACTTTTTTACTATTTTTGGGGTCTCCAGAATGAATTAATCAAATTCCCACAAAAATCTATGATAAATCGATAATTGGTTAATGAACAATTCAGATAGCGAACATGGTCTTGGAATGGATTATGTTCATTAACTGATCACCCATTGTATTTATTAGTGTAAAAACAGTACTTGAAAATTTAGTTTAATATATTAATAAACAATTACACCAGGAGCTGCTTTTGGACGTTTAATTGGAGAAGGAATGGTAATATTATTTCCTGAAGGTCTTCATATGGCAGGAACACAGAATAACATTATACCTGGAGGTTATGCTGTTGCTGGTAAGTACAAATTAATGTTTGTTATTTTAGAATTAAAATCTAATAATTGAACAGGAGAACAAAAACACAACATAATTGAGGTGTTACTATTGGCAAAACAGATTTAACTGAATTTATTGATACTGAAAATAAGTGTGGATAGCTTTATTAACTTTTTTAATATGTCTTAAAACAAAAAATTAAATTAATAAAAGGAAAAATATTTTACTTTTGTTGAGAATATTTCTATAAAAACCTTCCTAATACAATTGTGAAAATGGTTAAAGTATATTGAAGTGTTTTGTTGAACAAAATTATTGTATTTTAACTGTCATATGCTCTCTGTGCTGTTTGAGAACAGATCTAGACAGCATTCAATTTCTGGACTAAAACTTGTTTGGATGCTTTACTTTTATTTTGTTTGTGAATATTCAGAAATTTGTAATCTTATTTAACTTGAGTTATTTGTGAAATTAAACTGTTTGTAAAGAAACTGATGTCTTTGTTCTTTTGTTTATAACATTATATATAAAGTATTGAGAAATCTTGTTTTTGAACAGTGAGTAATGCAAAGGAAATTACAGTATAAAAAAATATATAATTTTATTTTAAAAACTTCTTGTATTATTATACAGGGTGTATCAGAATGATGTTTTAAACATTTGGGGGATTGTAGATTGATGAAATTTTGAACGTTTTGATATAAGGAACCCATAGCCGGAAATGTGATATAAAGTTTCTACAGCACTTTGCAGTTGGTATGCTGAATGAAACAGCAGAATACAGTATTTATGACAAGTTTTATTGACAAAACAGTACAGTACAATCAAACTGTACATGGAATCACTGGCTGCACTACTTTAGAGTAAATGTTCAATGTGATGACCACCTACTTCATTACATAATGTGCAATGACAAACCATGTTTTGTCCAACTCTGTAAGATGCCACGCTCCCTTCTGATGGTGTATTAAATGCTTTAAAGATGTGCTCCATAAGCTTGTGAACTGTTCCCACAGGTGTTGCGTACACAAGGGACTTTACATAACCTCAGAGGAAAAAGTCAAGAACAATAACGTGACGTCAATGGACAGAAGGGTAGCTACCAAACTGAAGGGTGGTCAAGCACTTCCTACCGCTGTAGAAACTTTATATCACATTTCCGGCTATGGGTTCCTTATATCAAAACGTTCAAAACTTCATCCTCTACAATCCCCCAAATTTTTAAAATATCATACTGATACACCCTGTATTTTGTCTTTTGAATATAAATATCTTTTATTTTTTATTTAATAACTTAAGATTAAAACTCAGCAAAATGTATCATCAGGAAAAATTATTTAATAACCTGAAAATTTTTCAATTTTTAAGAAAATATAAGATCAGATCTATTAATTTTTCTGTGTTCTAGCCTAAAAGTTATAATTTTTTAATCCCATACTTATGATTGTGAAAATCAAATACAGAAAATAAATTTTTAATACTGATATTATTAATATATTTGCAGGTGCAGCAGCTTTCTCTGGAAGTGTCACACACACAATATCAACTTCAGTTATTGTGTTTGAACTAACAGGACAAATGTCTCATATTTTACCTGTAATTGTATGTAATTTGTGTGATTATAATTTAAAAAATTAATATCTTAAATCCATCTTTAATAAATATATAGTAACTTCATTTTTACAGATATCGGTTTTAGTCTCAAATGCTGTTGCCCACAGTTTACAGCCTTCAATTTATGACAGTATCATTAAAATGAAAAATCTTCCGTATTTGCCTCCAGTTGTTTCTGCATCTTCTGAGTGAGTTTACTTTAACACTGATTATTTTATTTTGATAAATTTAAAATGTTTGTAAATTATAAAATTTATCTATGATTCTGAAGTCTTTATCTTTGTTTTTTTTTAGATTACAACAAAAAAGAACAAATTCTTTTCTGTGCATTATTATTCATTTTTACTAATTGTATTAAAATTATTTTGAGATAAATAATGCAAATATAATAAGTATAGCATATAAATTTTTTTACAGTAGACCTTCATTTTAATAGACAAAGAAGGTTTCATTTACAAATACAGCATGCAAAGATTGAGTCAATGAGCATAAAAACTCAATGTACAGTATATTTAATAATAATTTATTTATTATAACGTATGGGATGTATGTTATTAAAATCAAGGCTAGCAGAAAAAAATCTTCTGGTTACAACTCCTTAACTGACTGTATTTTATAATTAATTTTACTTTCTCAGAAGTTACAGAATATAATATAGGGAAAGTATGGTGATCAGTTAATTTTGACCTTTGGCTTTTTTGCACTTTTTAATGTAGACACTCCATGAGCCCATAAATGTAAACAAAAAATTCCATACAAAATTTTTTCAGGGTCTGTTTTGCATTATATCAGTAGTTAAAAATAAAGTAGTAAATATGGTAATTAAAATTATTTTACAGCATCCATAACGTATATGTTGACGATATCATGGTAAGGGATATTATATACATCTGGAAAGGAGCTACTTTTAGAGATCTTAAAAAATTATTAAGATCAAGTAGATTAGAAGTATTTCCACTTGTTGAATCTCCAGGTATTGAAAAATTTTTCTATTTAGTGCATATTTTGAGATTACAATTGTTAACTTTTATTTTTGCTTTCCAAATAGAATCTATGATTCTTCTTGGATCTGTTCATCGTGTTGAATTATTATGGCTATATGAAATGCATTTTGGAAGACAACGAAGATTACAGGAAGTTGCAAAAAGACAGCCTCTTGATGATTCGTTGAGGAAAAGTCCCAGAGAACAAAGACAGTCTCGTTTTGAAGTTATTCCTGTTCCTGCCAATGGTCGAGTAAGTTTAAGAACTTTAAAATTATTTGAAGTAAGTAAAATTCGTAAAAAAAAGAATAAATATAAAATATTATTTCAGAGATCACCTAGAGTCTCACCACCACCATCTCCAACAATGACTCCAAAATCACCTAGAAAATCAATATTAAAACATTCTCCTGTAAATTCACCATATAATACTATTACATCTTTAGGTAAGAAATATTTTAATATTATACATGATTGTTGTTAAGAATATTATGTTTTACATGAGGTATAACTTTAATATTTTATATATGTATATTAGACCAATAGAATGATTAAGTACTGAAAAGTACATATCAGTGAAATAATTTCTACTTTCTAAACTTATTAAATTACATAACACAGTAGATCCTAATAACTTTGACCCTCTTGCTTTTATTGACGAATACAATCTCACCTTAATATTTTTCATAGGCTCATAGTTCATGGAGAAACATCTTAATTAGATCATAAAAGCAAGAATCTGTTGTATTTCATAAATATTAACTTGTTCTGAAAACTGAAAAATTTGAATTCTTATTTTATCTCATTTTGTTTATATTTTTAATTTTTACAAAAAGAAAATTATATTGATTAGTTAAAAAAAAGCACTTTATTCTGTTAATTTGTAAGCTTATTAATTAATAAAAAACATCATAATTAAATGATAATTATTAATGTCATTTTCAAGTTTTAGTTAACAAGCATCCAGAATTGTTAAGAATATTATTTAATTCTTTTTAATCTGAATTTCAGAGAAAATACAAGCTGAATTTTTACTATAGTATGTTAAACTTCTTTTACATATTACCTAGAGCATTATCCTGTAGAATATTAAAATTTTCGAAAATCAATGTTTATAATGAATGAAATTTTGTTTAAAATGTTACTCTTGTTGTATTTTTTCATTAAACTGAAAGTTTCCTAATTCATAATTCATTCCATACTTGTTTTTACAATGTTACTAGGTATAAATTCAAACTGTAATGGTTCATACGGCTATATCTATTAGTAAATCAGCTTATTAAAATTTGAGTCTCTGATAATTATCTGAAGATATCTGGTACTTATTACAAATATTTTGTTTGCAGATGCTAGGTTGCGACAAGCTTTTGATGCCGTTTTCAGAAAAACATTAACTCTTCAAGATGTTAATAGTGGAGATAAGGTATATTTACAATTAATTTGTTAGATAACCTTTTAGCTTATTATTCAAATTCCTATTTCATTTTAATACTATATTTACAAATTGTAGAAAGTTATATCTTTTATTTATTCTTATTATAATATATATTTTTATAGGAAACCCAGTAGTCTAAAACAATGCTTATCTTGTCAAACATCTTTATTTTACAAATTCTAATTCAATAGCCATAATATCATAATATTTTAGAATAATTTATCCCCTCTTCAGTATGGAATAAACAATCTCAAAATACACTTATGGTTATTGAACTGCAGTTTATGAAATAAATGTTTGTCAAGATCAGCATTGTTTTGGACTATTGAGTTTCCAATATAAAATTTCTAACTAGTTAAATTTATTTATTTTTCATTTATAAATTACAATACTAAAAATCAAAATATATTTTATGAGAAATAACAATTTTTAATTCAGCAAATTAAATTTCTATAGCAAAAAATATTATTTTATCATTAATTGTTGAGAACATTTAAAATTCAATAACTATCAATATTAATACATGAAACTCAATTTGTATAATTTCATTCATTAAAAGAAAAAAATAGATACAAAACATAAGAAAATATATACCGTGTTTTCCCAAAAATAAGACCTAGCATATGTTTTGCTGAATTGCTAAATATAAGGCTTCCCCCAAAAGTAATACCTAGCAAAGTTGTTTTTTTTTACTGGTAACGGTCATTGACAGATGGTTGAAAGTGGCCATTGGCTTTTTGAAAGTACAGCCACTGATTGGTCAGCAGACAATCATGCCACATGGCATGATTTGCATAAAACTATGGCTGGTGATGGCTAATTGGTTGGCTGGGAATCACACCACATCACATTTGCATAGTGCTACGGTTCAATAAGCACTAATTGGTCATCAAGCGCGATGTCGACGCTATAAAAAGGTTAAGTTGAAGTGAGAGTGGGAAGTCCACTCCAGCATGGGAACAGTTTGACACGACCGGATATATGTCACTCTTGTCTAAGTTCGATTTGGGAATTTTTTTGTTCAATAATAAATGTGAATTCTTCTTCATGGAAAAAATAAGACATTCCCTGAAAATAAGACCTAGCGCATCTTTCAGAGCAAAAATTAATATAAGACACTGTCTTATTTTCGGGGAAACACAGTATAAACATTGAACTTTTGAAACCACATTTGACACATTCAAAATTTAAGAGCATTTTTTCCTGTTTGTATAATGATGATCCTTTTTGAAACTCACAAAGCAAGCTATGTCCAATATGCTTTCTAACTGAAGACATTTCAACATGATTTTATTGAAACAAAATGTGAAGCTTATAAACAAAGAATACAATCTCACATTAGCAATAATTTTACAAATGTTATAATTCAACCACACATTTATGTTAAAAGTATGCAAAACTTTCTGTTTGACCCAATATAACTTATTAACCATGGCATCCAAGAAATATGTGGAAGCAACAAAGTTGACGATGAAGGTTGCAATATCAATGTGAGAAGTTTCTTTTTGTCTCAATCAAAGTATGAAAGTAGTGCATGTATGGCGGATCTGTCTGCCATGTTTAATTGCATTTACTGAATGGTGTATGACTAGTAAATGTAATTTTCATTTTATTTTATGGTATTTATGTATTTTATTTATCATTAAATTATTAACATTTCAGATAAAAGTATTAATACTATTAGTATTACATATTAACAATTTATACGGGGACAAAATTTAATATCTTATATTTTTTTAAAAAATTACAGTCTGACAGTAGTGCACCAACAACTCCAACCTTACCGAAGAGAGTTCAATTGGTAGTCTATTTATCTTACTTTTTGAGTGTCTGTGTGTATTTATATATACTGTATATTGTTTTAATTAATTATTCTTTACTTTAAGCCTAAAGAACGTGTAATTGATATGTCTCCTGAAGAGGTAAGTAATAATTAAAATGCCTCAATGTCCTTGACTTACCTTAATACTGTAAGGTCTCGTTTTATGCGGTGGATACGTTCTACAGAAAAGCGCATATAAAAAATTCGCATAAAAAAAGACTTTACTTGCCTTGAAAAAGTAGGGATACGTTCCGTAATTTTCTAAAATCGCATAAAACCAAAACAACGAGTTAAAATTAACTTAAAACCGCATAAAAAAGTTTGCAGAAATTAAAAGAAATAGGCTGCTTAATAAATTACTTCGAATGTCTGAAAGAAATTCATATAAAATTTAATTTCAAAACAATTACAGTTTATACCTTTCAATGCGAAACTCAGAATGATGTAATAGCGACTTGTCGATGGTATCATGTACAAGGGGAATCCCCGAATTGCAAAAGCTCACTCTAAAAACAAATCACTGACATCTGGATGTGAAGAGTTAATTAAAACCCCTTTAGTTCCTCGCCTGAGTTAACTCGGGCAGGTTACATAGCGTTACATAAAACACGGTCCTTAAAGCCATTTTTGAAATTTTTTTTTGAATTTTTGGAATGTTTTTTAAGTCTCCAAATTTTTTAAAAATATTTAAAAATATACGGCCAGCTAGTGTTCACCCTACTTTAAACCCTTGTCCTCCCGCGACGTCTATGAGAATGCCCCGGGAAATCCAACTCCAGCTGTGTTCAAGGTCATCCAGATGTGTAAACAATGACTCATCGGTGTTAAATTTCACAGAAGGGCGAGACAAAGGAAGTTAAACTTTGAAGCTTTTTCTTCAAAATTAACGCATTTCTTTTGTTTTTTTTATGTTTAATTACATTTATATCAAAAATTGCTAGGAACTAAAGCGATTAAGGTAGATCTAGCTGTCCTTTACATCCATAAACGTTATATGTCAGTGGAACAAATGGAGTGAGCTTTGAACGTTCCACGATTTTTGGAGACTGTCTATATGTGGGCTTCCTAAACAAGCCTAAATGTATGCTTGTCCAAGAAATTTTTGGATGAAATACAAACCGCACAACTTCAAAATCGCATAAAAATAATCCACATAAAAAGAGACCTTACAGTATATAAATTTTCGTCTACAAGTATGTATTTTCTAATATCAGGACTGATTATACTCGCTTTACAGATAATGCTACAATCAGTCCTGATATTAGAAATTACATACCTGTAGATGAAAATTTATATATTAAGGTAAGTAATAAAATTAAGATTAATTAAAGTAACATATTAATAATTTTTAAAATAATTTTAAAGCAATTGGCATGGGAAGAAGACCAAATGAACAGCATCATAGATTTCTCTCAATGTCATATTGATCCTGCTCCATTCCAATTAGTGAAAAGAACATCATTAATAAAGGTAAGATGTCAGCTGTAATCAGTCTGCCTTACTGAATTAAAATAAGTTTCAAAACTTAAATTTGTATTATAATTGATATTTGACTTTCAATTAGATATTTTTAGTTAAAAATTTTAATACAGATTATTCCCCTTTATATGATTCACAAAGTTCTGTATATTTTGTATATTTAATTGTTCATCTCTTGGATGATTTCTATAATAATTAAATGGAAAATAATGAAATTACATAATCCTTTTTCTATTTAAAACATTAAAATATATAAATGTCCCTAAAGATGAAGTATTCAATGATCATATTTCTAATAGAATTTTACTATAAATAAGGCCACATTACTAGAATTTAGTAAAAGTGAGATTCTATAAAATTTTATAAATAAATCAAAATCATAAAATTAAACAGTTAGTAGAAAAATTAAAATTCTCAAATTTAATATGAGTTTTTGTTTCTAACTAAGAAATATAACCAAGCTTGTTTACTAGTATAAAAGTTTTGAAATGGACCTGGACATGGCCTCTCAAACACTCGAGACCTGTCATTTCGAATGTCCATGATTGACGTGCTATGCACTATCGCGGATTAAATATTTATGATAAATGCTGGCTTATAACTTCAAAGAGGTATTTATAGAAGATTAATCTTTTATTTATCAATAAACAATAAAATAACTTAAAACAGATTAATAATGTATTTGAATTTCATTGTATCTAAGCTGAGTGTCAGCGTTATGGAGGCTGCCATTATAACTGATTCAAACCTTACAATGCTGCAAAAGATCGACTCATATTTATACAATTTCAAAGTTTTATCAGATTAAACATGAGTCACTTCAGTTTCTGAATCTATAGCATGCACATCATATTTGCTTTATTACTCATGGCATAAAAATTTTTAAACATAAACATGTTTCATATGATGTTCAGCAAAAGCCGGATGTCATCAAAAGAATATGAAACGGTGAAACTCTCATAATAAGCAGAGAGTTAGGGGTACCTGAGTCAACACTATGCAGATGAATATTTAAGCTGCGGTTAAGCAGTTTGGACCTCAATCACCACGGCTTAATGGCCCTACACTGAATGTAGTCTTGGAGATTGTGAATGCTTTGTGTAGTTAATACTGACCAACTGTAGGAAATAGATGAAAATAAGGAGGATTCTCCGTGCCAGAGTGTTGGTCATTAAATGGGTGGAACGTTAAATATTAGATATAGCTGCTTTTCACTTAGAATATGAAACAAAAATACATATTATTTTAAATATGACAATGAATTAATAGAATCCAAGTTTAGTTTGGAAAAGGAAGCATTGTGATTCAATTTTTTAAAATTGCAGGTACATGCCATATTTTCAATGCTCGGATTAAATCATGCTTATGTGACTTCAATTGGTTGTCTAATTGGAGTTGTAGCCTTGAAAGAAGTAAGATTTTTTTCCATTTTAATTAAACTAAAAAGCTTTTCTTTTAATTCAAATTTATATTTGCAAATTATTAATTTTTTATAGGTTCGTCAAGCAATCGAAAACATACCTGTAAGAAGTTCAACAAGAGCTCAAAATAGTGTTACTTCTGAAGGAACAACCAAAAGTAGTTCTCAACCTCCTTCAGAGGCACAATCTGAAATAGATATAATTGAAGCTATAGGAAATGCAAAAGAAGTTGTCGATAATCAAACTTCATCTGTATAGTATTATTGCTACTGTTGTTAGTTATTTTTACAATAGTTAACTTTTAATTCTTTAATTGAATGGATATGAATGAATTAATTATTTTAATTCTTTTAGTTAAAATAAGAACCAAAGAAATAATGAATAGTCAACAGAGTCAATTCACAGAATTATCATATAGTTAAAAATATCTTTTAAGTTACATGATCTAATGTAAACAAAATAAAATCTTGTTAATTTAAAGTCAGATATTTAAAAATTATTTTACACATGTCACAATATATTGTCCACTATTATATTTTCCTCTTTGTCCAATCAATTTTAATTAAAAATAGAATTCAGTATTGATGCATGACAAGACCACCATCTTATTATTCAGATTCAGGCTTGAATCCTATCCAGATCTGTTATCATCAATTAGTAGTTTTGATCAGTACATCATTCTTTATCTATTTATATTGTTGACCCTATTGTTGGTTAAGCCCATCTATAATAGACGAAATTAAAGAAGAAAAAATTTGATAATTAAATTACTAGTCACTCAATAGAGACTAATGATTAACATACTTTTAAAACTTTCAGCAATTTCTTCAGGTGTAAGAAATAAAAGGAACATTTTTTTTTATTTACTACTATAATTGATTAGGGATTGATGCTCTTGATTATTTCTAAATCTTTAACAGATAAATCTCATAGAATTCTATCTAGAAAATATGGTTCTAAATCTTTTCTTTTTGACATATGTTTGTCCTTAGTTACTTATATATGAGCCATTGGTTTTGAAAGTGGGGCAAGTCCATTTTGTGAAAAAATAGTTAATACTAATTCTTATTACAAATTAACATAAATTTTACGTTTTTAATCAATTCACAATAAATATCTTTTAATATCATATAAATTACTAACAACAAATTTTCAATCATCAATGATATTTACAGTTAGTTGATTTTGAAAGTGAGGCAAGTCTGCTCTAAAGAAAAATATGAAGATATGATGGATTTATTATCATTAATACTTTAAGAATCTGCACCATCTAAACTAAGAAATATAATTATATGCTTGCAACTTATTATTATTAAATATTTATTATTATTTTCTCCACTTTTTCCTATAAAATTAATTTATTTTTTGTTTCATTGTAGCTTTTCGAAAAAAGTATGAAATGTTAAATAAAATAAATAAGTAAATAAATAAAATATAGTTATAATAATAAAAAATTAAATATTTATTTTGAATGGAATATATCCATTAAAAGAAAAGCAATGTTTTCAACAAATCATTGCTTTTGAAAGTGTGGCAAGTCCATTGGCGCATACCAAAACCATGATTTTTTCACCTAACGTGGATAACCATTATTGCATATTAAATTTACATGAAATAAAACCATACAAATATAAAATGTGTGTATTACTGCTTGCAAATATTTTTAAACTCATTCAAATGCAAACCATTAAGTATCCAGCAATATCATAAAATAGACTTGCTCCACTTTCAAAATCAACAGCTCATATTATACTTTTATCCACTTTGGACTTTCTTGTGAACTAAGATTTGTTAAACCAAGGGAATTGAATCACACAATTTCAAATTAAAACACTTTTAATGTAACATAACCCTGTTCTGACATCAAGATTATGTTACATTGAATTTTCTTGGTGTAACAAGTCTTAGTTGCAAGAAAGTTATATATTCTAAATCTACTTCTTCTTTAGAGTGAATATGATTTGCTAAAGGAAAAAAATGCATCAAATATTTTCATACATTTTCATTCCATTTTATAAGAAATGACTCAGAATTTATTAAGTACAAAATGTTAGGTTTCTAATTGGATTCTGATTTTTATTATTATTATTAAAATCTGTTTATAAATATTTAAAATCATTTGTACTCTTTTATTTTAACTAAAATATATTTTATAAAAATTTACTATAAATATATGTTAGGCTTTCATTTCTTTTCCTGTTCATCAATAGCTTCATAATTTCTCATTGTATTGTTAATCACAAGAAGTTCTCTTAAAATTCAGGATTATCAATATTTATAGTAATTCTAGAATGACTCAAAAACTGACTTAAATTTTATACTATAAAGGCTAAAAAAGTATAAAACATATTCTGATGCTAATTAACAAGATTTTATCTTATAGAATTAAACTTAATATAATTATAAGTTACATGACCATTGCAGCTACTTTTGAATGAAAATTTACATATTAGTCAGTCATTGTGGCTTCTGTAAATATTAACAGTAAATATTGCTATAACAAGTTAGATGTTATTGAGAATTTTATAAATTCCATTTGTTATGATTTATATTATATATGTATACAGAAAACCTGTCTAAAACAGAACCTGCTTAAATGAAAAATTTTTTTTGGAGGATTATTAGTATGAAGAGTGTAGCAACCTGCTTAAATGAAAAATTTTTTGGAGGATTATGAGTATGAAGAGTGTAGCTTAACCTGGTCAAAGCAGAAAATTCAAATTCTGCTATTGTAAACAAATAAGGGAAATTGCCTCTGGGTGACAAACTATATTCCAAAAGTAAGTGTGAACCTTGTAAGGTAACACAGTACTATCAATTTGCCTTGTTTGGATTAATTGGTAACTTTAACTAGTACTGAGTATTGAAACACAAGTTGATCAATCTTGTAATTACCAACACTCTAATTAAACTCCCTCAAGAAGCCAGATCACAGAATAACTTGGTCTTTGTATTACTGTAATTTGATTAGAATTTCTGATGGTAGAGTGATACAGTTAGTGAACAAGCCAATTTGACAACCAATGTCTTAAGAGCTCATAAGGATTGCATCTGCAAAGTGTTCAAATACCCAGCACAAGTTTGCTGCAACAACAAGAACTTTTTTCAGTTGAATAGGTCTCAATTCTTGCATTCAAATACTCCTATTTTTAGTTGGAAGCTCTTTGAATTAAACCTAATAATAATAATAATATAATCACTTCAATGTATGTAAAAAAGTTATTAAATGTCACAGAATTACATTCATTTTTCATCTGGTATAATTTAAAGATTTAAAAAAAAAACAAAACAAAATACTAAAGACTATTCAAAATGGAAAAAATAATTCAATACAGTGTATGATTCTGGTTTACACAGGTTTTACTGTATACATAATACAAAATTATACCATATTACAATATGAAAGTGAAGTAAGTACTACGTAGAAATTAGTGAATAACTCTTCTCAATCATTCCATTTAATCTCAAAAATTATGATTAAAACCATGTATCAAATATATAATACTTTGAAATTACCTTTTCTTTCCAAATACAAATATTTGGAAAGCTCCCATAATTCAATTTGCTTTTTTCAGAAAGAAAACATTTTTTAAAAATTATTGCCTTAAAGCTTTCACAGCTTTTTTTCACTTTCCAGTGCATATAAACAGTTATTAAGTGCGCAATAGTACTGAGGCTAAATAAACTTTTGAAAATCTCTTTAAGAGCAAGGCAAGTACTTAAAACCTGAAGATGCTTTTTCAGTTATATTTAAGTTGAGGTATGCCTGTATGTGGCTATTGTCAGGAGTCGAGAAGAGAAATGAAGATTGAGAATACACTAAATAAACAATAGCGGTCAAGCATATTCTCTCAATATTTATCTCTCTTATTGACTCCTAGAGATGGACATATACTTACAAAATTACTTCACCTTCAAGGTATAATTTTAAGACAAAAACCAACTATACAGTAGTAGTAATTTTTTCAAAAGTGTAATATTATAATGAAATATCATATTCATTTATGATTAAATTTTAGTAAATATCTTGCTGCATTCTATTTTTTTGAATTTATTATGTAGTAGCAATGCTAACTGTTTTATAAATAATATATTTAACTTAATGATCTCACTGAAACAATGTGAAAAGCTCTGATTAAATTAATAAAATAATTTAATCAGTTTTAACTTAAGGGGACATACTTTGAGGTAACAATTTACAGTTTAATAATAAAAATGAAGTAGATAAACTTCTGCAATTTATCACATCATTGATGATTTTATATAATTATAACACAGTTTTATACAGTTAAGAGAAAACTGTTTTAGGTTGTGAAGCGTTATCCAAACATATAGTCAGGGATAAATAAATATTGAATTATTTATTGAATGTTGAGAGGAAACTACATGAAAAATTATAGGAAGAGGAAACATCTCTTAAGTTTACATGCCTTTTTCCTCAACCATATCAATTAAATCTTAATGTTATTGCTAGAGTAGTATAATATAGATTGCCATTAGTCATTAAGAAATTTTTTTCACATCCAGATTGAAATAACAACAACACTAGTTAGAGTATTATTAACCACATGTTATTGTGATTTTCATTTATACCCAAAGCATTTTGGTCTGTTTTTGAGCTCTATCTTAAGAGTAAAATGAAGTAAATTGTTTCAAGTTCAGTGTGGTGCCAAGTTTTGTCTGTTATCAGAAACGAAATTTATTATTATTCTAGAACTAAATAATATATCTTGATAGAGCACATGTGAATGAAAATACAAATCTTTTTTAATTTAACATGTGACTATATCTACAAGAAGTAAAGATTTTGTAAATGTTAAGAATATATCTATAGAAAATGTTTAATTGTTGCACCCAAATATCAATGACAGGTTAAACCAATTATTTCTGACAATTGTCGACATTAAAGAAGGTGATTAATGCAACCCACTTGACATTGTCATAATTTCACTGCTCGTGTGCATCAATCTTTAACACGTTCTTTGCTAGTATCATAAGCCTCTCTCTCCAAAGAACATTGTCAAATCAAAATTTCTTAATTAATAATAACTTTTTACTTTCCTGTGATGATACAGGGAAAAAAGTACTTCAATTTTACAAAATAAAAATCTGTTTTAAGATCTACATACAATTTCCTTACATGCGGCACTTGAGATATATTTGGTGCTATTTATGAAAAGAAAAATCATTATATTTTTGTATAATCAATCTACAGATTATACAAACTTTTATACATGCTATATTAGATCGAATGTCAGATTTGATACGATATTTATATTCTGTATCAGAAATATTTTCATCGCGTACATTCCATTTACGCAGAGTTCCTATTACATTGGTGATAACAGTATTCAGTGACATTTAAAACTTGTATTGAGAGAAAAATTACGAAAATCTGTGATAATTTATATGGAGTTATCATTATAGTTTAATGCAAACCTATTTAATTGGACCCATATACATAAATTTGTGCGCCCATTTAAATAGTTTTCATTTTATTATATATATTGTTTTAAATATATATTTTTTTAATCAAAGTAAACTATTTTATGTAATCCGAAAGCTGTATTTTCTATAAATATATTTGCTCTATCTAAATTTTTTTTTCGAAAGGGTCCAGTATTATATTCAAGATTAACTAACGTGATCAAGTAACAATAACGGTAGTTGTTTTATAGGCTATTTTATTAAAATAATAGTGAGAAGTAATTTTATAATTCTATTTATATTATGCAAAGATATTCATAATCACCATTAATAATGTTCAAGCACTAATTTAAGAATAATATAAGTTCCACTATTTTACTAGGTAAAGAAAAAAAACAAAAAAAAAAATCTTTATTACTCATATTTGCAAAAAACAAAAAAAATTTGCATAGTTTAAGTCCTTTTCTTAATGTTCCTAAAATCAATCACCATGTTTTTGTGGAAATTATACATTAATTTGAACCCATTAAAACTTGGTAATTGATTTTTACTTTTTTAGAAATTAGATTTTTTTTCTATCCACTTGTAAAATTTTATATGAAATAAACTACATTGTCAATTTTATCTTGTTTTTATATACATATATATAATTGTTTATACTGTGTTATATATACTTCCTGTATTGTTTATATATATATATTTTTTTACTCAATGTACTTAAAAATAAACTTGATGTACTTTGTAGAAATCGAATAAAAACACTGTTACGAATATTTTGATTATTTTTATTTAATGTAAAGATAAAAATTAGAATTCTAAATTGTCGTCAGAATCCCAATTCGACGTTTCAACACAAAAGTCTCCAAAATCCACTTCCACATCGTAAGTGAAGTCTGGATCACCAGGTTTTTTCTGGTTAGTTTTAAATGACGTTTCCATAATATCCTTCTTCCTTTCGAGTGTATCATCATCAAGCTTATTCAGATCTTCTTCTGGATCTATACTAAATTCTTTCTCCACTATTTTGATACTATCATCCAAACCCTTTCCTTTCATCGTCTCTTGTATGATCCTCAACTGTTTTTCCAGCCTATAGACGGGAACGTCGTTCAAATAAAAGTCGTGTCTGGTTTTAAGTTCCCTGGCAATAATCTGGACGCTAGAATTCTTGAAAAGGCCACGAATTGGCATATTCCGCTGTCTAATTTTATCGCCATTTTCGTATATCAGTATCAAGGCCGGAGGTTTGAGTCGTAATCCCAGCTTTTTAACTTTGACAGACATCATCCGAAAGAAATATAAAAATACGCATCGATTGTCAATTTGTTACCTTAAATTCCGCCCGTTTTTCTTTTGGAAATAAAAAAAATAATCATTTCAAAAAACACATTCGAGATCTCACATAAAAACAACTCCCACATGTATACACAATGTGACGTTTGGCCCCCTGGTGTCATATTTTGAAAAAATAATAAATTTTTCATTTTATTCTATAATTATTTTATANTTTTTATGTAGCTAAAAAAACAATTATTATAGGTCAAAATCACTGACTTCAGTATATACCTAGCAAGAACAACGATCTCCTGCTAACAGTGGCGCCGACTAGCGGCAAATATTATCTCTAGCTAAGTTTGAACTATTAGTCGAAAGACCAGTTAATCTACCGACTCTGCTTTAGGTAACGCTGCAAATCAAAACAATGGGTACGTTCATAAAGTCGAACTAGTTAACTCGTTCGACTTTACGAACGTACCCAATGTAGTCTATAGAGGTGTTCCAAGTCTATAGAGTCACGTGATAGAACTCACGTTTACTCCGCCATGTTTGTGGTCTAGCTTGCACGTGGTTTGTTATTTGACAGGTTGGCAGCGCTTTTTTCTATTTAAACATAATAAACTGCAATAATTTTATATCATGGACAAAGTTAAAAAAGATACTTTATGGCGGGTTATTCTTGCAGTCTTACAGGACGAGGTGCTGTTTTATATAAAGAGAAAGTTTCATTATGTCAAGGTGTCGGTCTGTACGAAGCCAGAATTTCGTTCTGGATCGAGTTGTGGCCTAAAGTATAGTTTATGTCGTCACCAAATTCTATCTGGTTTTGAGGACAAATTACTACACTCTTTCACAAATGAAAGTTATTGACTTCTAAAGATTTGTAAGTTATCTTACAATTGGCTGTGTTTCTCTTGATTTAGTGCTATTTCATAACGCTCCTGATATGCAGTTAGGTTGTGGCCACTCTCGTACCCCGTGTATAATGTTGGCACCCACCAATCTGTTGATGACTCATCATAAAATGAGGAAGGTTTTCCTTTGTGGTAAAAAATTTTCTTCCAATAATATATTATTATTAAAAATTATCATTATAAACTAGCAGATGAGCCCGGCGTTGCTCGGGCTAAAAGTAACGATAGCAAAGATTAAGATTATCAGATTATAGCCGATTTTACCCGTTTTCACCGGGTGCAAGAATTAGGTTCACCTTCTTTCGAGACTGATTATTAGGGAATTTTTAGATGGGTCTAAAATTATGTTCGATTTCCCGCAAAAAACCGCATCTAAGATAGTACAGTAAAATCTGAGTCCAGGGTAATCCTTAACCCTCTCCCCGCGGCAGGGAATTTCGGAAAACTCCTTCCTTTTTAGTGTGCATTCTCGTGATGTGATGTACCGTGTACCAAATTTCAACTCCTAACCGTTTGGGCTCTGCGCTTATCATCATCATTATCAACCTATCTCGATTATATTATAAAATAACAAATAGTAACCTTCAAGTGTTCCTGACGAATTCTTATGTAATGTTTATTTGCTACTAATGTAAAAAAATCATTGTAAAAAGTAACATCTTCAAGAAATGTTAATGTTGCTCATCAAAATAACCTAAATTACTATTTGTAAACGAACAACAGAAATTATTGTTTTATATCTTAAAAAATGCGCTTTTTATTTATGTAAATTAGACCGGAAGGACAATCGGTTCAAAATTCATTTCTAATTAATCATCTGCTAAGCGTTATCTTTGCTTAACACTTAAATATACAGTAGAGTTAATATTAATTACAAGCAGAGGCTAAGAAAACAAATTAAAAGGTGAAAAATAAAGGTGGAACACAACCATTATCTATTCAAACTAAAATCTGCGGTTGTTAAAATTATTTAAGTTTATTTTGTCGGTTTTAACAAAGGGATTTATACAACCGGTTGTACACATTATATGATACTCATGCAAAAGTTTATCTAATCATTTATCATTAAATAGTAATCAAATCTTATTGCTTACCTGATATGAAATGTTTCTGACGAACTCAATTCACTTTATTCGTATTGAAATTTTTCTGGTTAATTCTCCAGAGCCATGCAAATTGCCTTCGTCGTGAAAGCTCCTTGATGACAATGCCATAAATTTAGAAAATTGACGTTCCTTTGTTCTCGAGTGAACTAGCATTACATCCAATTACATAACAATTCACCATAGCGACGAATAAACAACACAAGAACCCCAGCTAAAGCTCGCGTAAACACAAATAAAACGTAAACAAACCACAAAGATGGCTCCGGACAATTGCGCATGCCCATGACGCCACTTGAAACTTCTCTATAATGGTTGCGTTCAGCAGACCCAACAGTTGTAACTTAGCAAATCGGTAGATGTTACGTAGTAATCTGGATCTGCTGAACGACGAGTGACGTTGCGTTGGAACAAAAAGCTTCATTGGTCAGTTTCGGGTAGCGATAGATAGCGTAAATGACACTATCAAATGTGAAGTCAAAACACCTAACGTGTTCCGAAAGAGCGCTACTGTAGAGGGCGTTCGGCAGAAAATACGCAACAGCTCCGGAACTGTTGAGTCTGCTGAACGCAGCCAATGACAGAGCGATGGTACAGATAAGCGCCGCCATGTGTTTTCCAGACTGCTTATTTAGCTGCAGCTACATACTATACTTACAAGTTGGTTGGGGAAACGAAAATTATCTAGCACTTTTATTTTTTCTGCTCGAATTTCCATTTAAAATACAGTAGAGCGTCGTTTATCCGAAAGCATTCTAGTCGGCAAATTTAAATTTTCGCTAGTGCTGTGGCGCTGCAATCTTCGGCTATTTCACGGGCTACTCAAATATTTTACGTTTTTGATACTAAATTAACATCTGAAGTATAATTTTTTATTGTTTTTATATTTTTCAATAAATTTATTTTGTTTGTACAAAATAAAAAAATAATTTTTAACGATACAATAGTCTTCGTTAGGCTTAACATCGACGAAAATTCAACGCGAAGCGACACGCAACGGAGAGAAATTTCAACATGGGATAAATTAATATATTTTTTCGTACATGATTCGTTATCCGAACCACCCCAGTCCCCAATTGATTCGGATAAACGACGCTCTACTGTAATGTCTTTTCGATTTCTAGAATTTTTACTTTTATTTACTTAATTAATAATTTTTGGAATTTGTAAGAATCCATGTCTTTTTTATTATTTTTGAATGAAAACACGTTTTAGAAACCCTACTTTCTCCAATCGTTCCCACGGAGTAAAATACCGGATGTTAACTATCAATAAGTCCTTTCCTCCCTCACATCGACCCGCGAATTTATCGCAAATATGTTATAACGGTCGACTGTCAAATGTGAGAAAGTTGACACTTAACTTTAGTTTGAGGAGGAAATCTAAAACAATTGAAGGAAATACGAAACCTTCGCTTAGTTTTCGTCGGCCAGCTGACACCTTTGACGTGTCATCGCTACCAAACAAACGGTCACCTGATCAGATTCCCACACTAAATACCTATATAATGCGAGTGCACACATCTTCGGGGCAATCAGTCCCTCAGAATTGTGACTTCTCGTCCTTCTCCACGTTCCCATCCTGGATATAAAGTACTGTACCTCGACTAGATCCACGATCGTCTTTAAGGTAGATAGTTGATATTGAGCCAATCCTAAATGTACTATCAAACGATAATGACGCCTATATACATTTACACTATTCATCATCGTTTCATCAAGGAGTGCATAGAAACTACAGCACTACGCTGTAGCTTCTATGCACTCCTTGCTTTAGCTCATTAAATAGTTTTACTTGTTAAATGGGTATTGCGTGAACTTCCGAAGCCCAAAGACACCCTATTGACTTACCCATCACACTTCCCACTCGAAATTTGAAACGCCCTCCTATTAACCTGACATCGAAAGGAACTCTATCCCGACAATTCATAGATTATGCCATCCAGTGACAATTGAGCGGCCTTTACCAGGTTGCCGCCGATCCAAGGTAGTCTAAATCGATATCCTTCGACCCACCCGGCTTCTCACAAATTTCTTTATGATGAACATTTAATTTAACCGACTCGTCGAATAACGAGTCAATTGCTTTTTTAATATCCTGAATGTTAAATAAACATAAAATGATACAAAACGTCTTGGAGAACAAAAGTATCGCGTCGTCCTTCCTATTCACCGGGTAAACTAATGCCATTTATTTTTAAAATTATAAAAGAAATTGCAGTTTTATCTCATTTTTATTTGTGTAGAAATATAAATAATGAAGATTTGAACAAAAATAAAAATTTTGTAAACTTCAAATAGGCATAAAATATCTACAGTACATAATTATATCATCACAAAAGTAAATATTTTTAAAAAGATGCACTGGATCAGCAATAAATGCAATGATTTCTTCTGAATAATAAGGATGTGGGATATAATATAAACACTTACTAAATTTTCCACTAATGCCAAAAGCTTTCCATTGTCTGATTTATAGATTCCTATTAGATGTTATAGTATTGACAATCTCACATCTTCACTATATTTAATTATATTTTTTAAAACATAACCATCTGTCGAGATGCTAGTATAAAAGTATGCAAAGGTTTGTTTCCACTTTGTAAATATACCACTTAACATAAAGACCAGTGAATAAGTAACAAAGCCTAGCCTGTATGATTTGGTAGTGTCACCTGGCCTTAATATGTATAAGTACTTGTGTCATAATTAGTGCTTGGAGTTAATGATGCCAACCAAAATTAAAAACACATTATTTTTCTTCATCTGTTTCTATACCATCAACTTTTAAGAAAATCAAGTACAGTACTTTGTACACTATTCCACTTTCAAATTTTAAGTTTTCCGGTTGTCTACATATGGATCTTAAAGATGGATAAGGCAAATTGCATTTGAGTAAGCTGTCGTAACCTTTTGAACCGCAGCTAAATCTCAATCCTAATGCTGTACACATTGTTTCATTGGATCATTTTTTAAAACACATTGATTTTCAAGAAATGCAGGCTACTTGATCCTTTTTAAATGTGTTTTGTACAGCTGTCTTAATTTTCTTATCGGTTTGGCAATCTCTAAATTTTTGTATTCAATTCTTAACTAATCTTTTATGGAGACTGATTAAAGTGTAATTTAGAAATTATTTTATCCTTTTTCAATATGATGCTTTTTAACTCATCAATTATTTTATCTTTATCTTTACATTTTCCAAAACTGAAATCTTCATTAAATATTGTAGAATTATCTGTTTAATAATATATATTGTAGAATTATCTGTAAAATAATTTATTATAAGTGGCTTATGATAAATACTGTATAATTAAAGTATAATTATTATTCACTAATCATTTCGATATCAAATTCTATTTTATACATTTTATGTTCTAAATTACAAATTACTGTAATTTATAACTTTTTATTAAAATAAAGTAATTTCTATAATTAAGGACTTTCACATCAGATATTGTATATCACATATTACAATTATTAAACTATATCAATACTCATTAATTTATGTATACTGATTTTTTTAATTTAAATTTTAAGCAATTTGGAATAAAAATTTTATATACACAGATGATTATTAATAATACGTCACTTACCTCGCAAATAGTTGCTGTTGATTACTTTCCAGTTTTCTCTTTTCACTTTTGATTCCCAAAGTTTACAACACACAGGATCTCATGGAAAAACTTTCATTAAAAATTTTATCGACAATTGTATTATGAAAACCATATTAAAAGTTCAGTTCTTTATCTCACCATTTTCATGTTTATCACAAAGTGTTAAATGTCATCAGTTAATATTCTAACTTCTCACTAGTAGCATCAAATTCAAAATATCACAAAATTTAATTAAAAATTAGACATGCTCAACAGCTTCACACTAAAGTTTGGGGTCCTAATCCACCCCGATTTTTATAACTTTGTTTTCTTCATTACTTGATCGTGTGATCTGGACAGAAAGGCAATGTAATGTCCAATATTACTAATCTAGGTAATTAATACCAAAATTTATGAAGTTAATTAAGTTAACGGCACAATTCTAACAAACTTTATGATATAAATGAAATTTGTTAAGTTTGATCCCAGTATCAACAGTTAAATGATATGTAAGATTTCTTTGGATTCTTGCCCCGTTTAATATTTGGAAATTGTTCTTTTGATTGGCTGATAGATTTCAACCATAAACAGTTTTGAATTTGAATTCAAAAATTATACCTTCCCAAAATGTTAAATTTCTTGCTGCGATTGATTAGAAAAAAGAAGTCGGTTGATCTTTTCCTTAATAAAAGTATGTTAAGGTTCCTAAATACACACCTGTTGGGTCAAACTTTTTTGTTTTAATTTGTATTTTACAAGAAAAAAATTTTTTTAATATAGCATTTTTAATGCAAGAAATCATTTGAGCAAGGTACAGAATTTCTAAATCAATATCATAATAAAAATATGCTATGAATATTTTACAAAGTCAGATCGTACAAAAAAGTTTGTTTTTTTTTGTTTTTGACAATTGGAAAATACGCCCAAACACACAAAATTCTATACACCATTGGGCTAAAACATCAGAACCCACATGTACACCATAATACTCTCAGTACTAAAACATTCAGATGAACTTTTTCCTTTTTTCTTAATTCATAATTTGAGTTCAGAAATTTTGGAATACAGTCCCTTCACATTTATTACAACAAAAATACAAATACCAGGATATATTTTGCAAAAATTGTAAAGTAATTGTGACATCGTTTGAAATATACACCTTTTCGATTTTTTTTTTCTGATTTGTAACCGGAGATAAATTTATCAGTTGTATTGCTCCGATTTCACTGTATACACAGTAAGAATATGTATACACATATTTATATATATATATAATTTCATTTATGTAGAAAGCACGAATAATTAATAAAAGTTACCGGTACATTATTATTGCAAATAATTTTCTCACACATTAAAATATACAAATTATTGACTGTATTCCACGATCAGACAGCGATTATTACAAATATTGGCAAATAGGATTGTGCATTCAAGGCATTTTCGAGAATGTCTGCCTCGACATCCACATCTATGGCAGTGCATATCCATGTAAAGAGCAAAGTCTCGATGCCGGCTTTATTATTATTATTATTTGTTTTTTTTTTTTGTACAGACATTTATCACAGTGCGTCAAATCATCATTTTTTTCACACGTCAAGATACACTGTGGGAGACTGCCAAGAAATTAAAAAGGGGGAGATATTGTGACGGCAACATAATGTGCCACCGTTCCGTTGTACTAAAATGTAATTTTGTCCGTGTATTTGTTATGATCACTACTGTTACATAGTAACAAGGAACCATGGGAAGTATCATAGCGTCTCAAGGCACTGACTGTGCTTACCTCCCGAACAGAGTAATTAAAAATTATGATATCATGATTTTCAAATCTGAACAATACAAAAAAAAATTTTTTGTAAGTTATAAAAATGATGTATTTGGGAGATGGGCATTCAAAAATTTCTATCAACAACAATTATAATAGTAATAATAATAATAATCAAAATAAAATCTACAAAAATGAAAAATCTAAAATATAAAAACAACAGCTTGCTATACATTTTCCTGATATTTGATCTTGCTAAAATTGGAACATAATGATTGTCCTTTGGGAAGAGTTCATTCAAGAACTGATATTGATAGTCCACAAGGACTAAAATGGATGGATATAATTATATGGATGAATTTCATTGGAATGTCATGCTTCCGATTCTCCTGACATAATCGAATGTACTTGTTCTAATTTCCTTGCCAATTTATTCTTTCGAGAAAACTCGTCTTCTTCAAGAATTAGCATAAGCTGTAAAAAATTATTATATTTAAATATTTATTTTAATAAACAAATAAACACTGAAAGATATTTTTAAAATAAGATTACAGTGGAACCACACATAACAAGTAATTCGCATAACGAGCAAAAAGTAATGGAAGGATTTTGGAAATACTTCAATTCAGAACTGACAATGCTATGAGACAATTCTGCTTGTTATTGCCTTACTATGTATTATGAAAAATACTTAACTTGAAAATTTATTTGCTACAGATTCAAGGAATAATATTTTTAAACTCAAATACGTTTACAGGAATTCTTATTTTATAAGGACAAGATTTGATTCTTTTTATAGCTGTACTAGCAGTAAGACCAGTGTTGCCTTGGCAAAAAAATAAGAACAAACATTAAGATTATTAGATTCTTTCTTACTCTAACCCTTCTACTATATTACATTACAGTATCTGGTTTAAATAACCACAAATGTTATCTTATGTAAGGGTTTATTGCACCGAATAACTAGTCTAACATATTTAATACATTTTTTAAATTGTATACAGCAGAGAAACAAAAAATTTTTAAAATGTGTTAAATTGGTCACTCAGTATGATAACCTTTGTAGTTACATAAATCAAATACTATAATATAACAAACATCACAATGAAATCAATATAAAGAGTTTGGCTATTTCAATCTACCATTGCCATCTTTATCGCAATACTCAGATGGTATGAAATGGCACAATTTCATTGGTCAAGTAGACACCAATTGAGAATATGATTTTTGTGAAAAATGGACCAAATATTTTATTTAACTCAGTACCCTGGAAAACCACTTAAAATATCTTTTGTGCAGGCCAGTATCCTTGTATTGTGTAATTTTCCGATTTGAATACCACTGTACTGCTGGGCCCGATAGAAAGAAAGGACTGTTGTGGAAAGGGGTTGAAGTAATTCAACCACAATTTTTCATTGACCTCCTCCCAGAAGAGAGGATGGTCAATGACGACTAATTAATACTGGTCTGCTATTAATATTTGAAAAGTACTCCATGTTGGATAGGTTGTGATGGACATCATGTGATTGAAGTTTCTAACCTTAATGTTTGAAAGACTTCATATAACTTGTTTAAATAAAAAAAATATCTTGTAAAAATGCCAAAATAATTGCTTTTATGTTATAGTAGTGTTTAAATTTTGGCAACAGATTGTATAAACTATGTGGGAAGTATGTTCTCATAAATCTTGAAAAGAAAAAATTATTGTGCTGCAATTTGAAAAAAATTGTAGACTTAAAAATTTTAACTGTCATTTGCCTGTCATTCCTTAATCTCAATAACAGAGTTAGGTAGATGAAGGATGAGACCAGATATGGAAAGCTTAGTGTAGGAGGTCCAAATTAACAAAATACAAACTTCTGGTTTGGACTGGAAGTCGTGTTATTTCAATTTGAAATTTTCCCTTAACAGAGTTAGATAGATGACTGGTACAACTCTATTGCTGACAGATATGACGTACAGGGACAATACCACCACTAAAAGAATTGAGAACATTGTGACAATGTCACAATAAATAATCACTCATTAGGGGCTGTCCATAAATTATGTCCATGTTTTTCTTGAAATTTTATTCCTCCACTCTTGTCCACGTTTCCGTAACCCTCTTCAGACATCCAACAAAACTTGACCCCCCCTTAAAATCTTCACCACTTTATGAATGATAGTAGATACATAAGTAAAAACAATACATACAAGAAATTTTGAAATAAATATGATAAAATGCATAAACTAAAACTGAATGAAATAAACTGGACGTCCACTGAAAATCAACTCCTCCCCTCCCCTTGTCAGACTTTGTCCGACTTGCTGTGACCCCCTCCGTCCTCTCTAGTGTGGATGCCATTTATGGTTAGCCCCTTAGAATTAGTTTGGTTTATTTAGTTATGGCAATGCGTGAGCAATCTGCCAAGGGGATGCATTTCAGGAAGACTTTTATGGGAAGTTGGACCCTATTTAGATGTTACTAGTTGAAAAAAACCCCAAAACACTCGACATGTCCAGCCTGTTGGCGATGCCATTTTTTGCCAATAAATGGCACTACATGTAAATCAGCAAACGAATGTAGATAAAAATTAATTGATTTATAGAAATACAATTGATTTTTTAGGGTGGAATGTAGAACATTATCTATGACGGAAGTATTAAAAACATAACTGCCAAGTTTCATAGCAATTGGTCAAATGGCCTAGGAGTGTATAGCAAACAAACATCCATCCTCATTTATATATATATATGAACAAAATCATAAAATGATCTAGTCTGTTGATACATTGATTGGATTTACTTCTAATGTATGTAAATTTACCACAATGAAGACTTTGTTCTGTAGTGCAAGACATTTCTATTTATTTTCTATTTACCAAAACACTTAATTTAATCACAAGTGACTAAGTGTTTAGACATAGAAGTCAGTGATTGAGGCAAGGTAGTCAGATACCACCAACTCCTCATGTTGCCAAGCTCTTCTCACATTACTTTGCAAGTTCTAATCACCTGCTATTTTAAAATAAAATATTGAAAACCAGGAATAATGTAAATCATGTAGACTTATTAAACATTTCAGAATGAAATTGTTTAAAATTTTTTTGCTGTTTTTGTAATATCTGAAACAAAATTATTATAAAGGGGCATTTATAAAGTGTTTGAAAAGAATATTTACACTTAAGATATGTTTAATGAGAAATTTTTTAAATATTAGTAATTAGGATTCTATTTCCAAATTTAAAAATTTATTTGCATTTATTTTTCTATATATTTTTCAAATTTATTTATTAGACCAGATATATTTATTTTTCAAACAAATTTCAATTCAAGTTAAGTTTGTAGACAACAAAATTTATTGTTAAAACATCAATCACTCTCATTAAATGTAGTATAAACAGGTATTTGTTATATAAAAACACAATGAAATGAAAACAAGATAAATCAGTTTGCAATTTGAACTCAATTTTCACTATTAAATGTAAATATAGTGAATAAAAATACAAATAATTATTTTAAAACCACCATACCTGATCATTATATTTAATGGCATAACTGTACAAATCATAAAGAGCAACATTTGTGTTGAATTCATGTGCATGGAGCTGAAATAAAAAATAATAATTAAAAATTGATTTCAATATTTCTTGCACTTGATATATAAAAAAGGTCAAGAGGCTTATTTTTTTGATAAAAAGAAATTCTAAATAATAATAAAAAATTAAGTATTTTATTAAAAAAATTGTTCAAATTTAGTTTGAACTCATTATACAATAGACTCAACATCTGTGATTACAGTAAGTGATCAAAATTAGTAGGTTTCATAACATAAAAGGTTATTATATATTATAAAAAATTCTATTATTATAATCAGATTTCAGTTACTATATCATTAACTTTGGGTAAAAAGTTCTTTTGATGCTTTCTTTGATGCTAACAGTCTCAACATGTGGCTGATAACATGCAATTGTTTCCAGATTCCAGTCTTAACCAGTTTTTAAGTTGATCATCTTAATCATTATTAGCTAACAATGCAATAGTTTATATTGCTGGCATTATGCTAGCTTTTATTGAAGTTGGTAGCAGTAACATATTAATTAATAAATAATTAATCCAATAAATCTTCAAGTTATACATTTTTAAATTGTCTTAACATGTTCTTTTAATGTTAGAGTCAATGAAACCTAACTGCATTCTTATTTACTTACTTCACATAACACTTCAATTCAAGTCGGGGCATCTGTCATAAGGTACTTTTGAATATACTGACTTTCACCAGACTTTTACATACCTTTATTCACATTTCACCTGACCATTGTCCACTGTGCACATATAAAGGTGAAAATTCAAAACTACCAATGTCTTGAAATTTATAAAGAGAATTTATTTATTCCCAAATAAGTTATTACATCAAGCATCTTATGCACTTCCATGATTATTGAGTCCCCTGTGTCTTTTAAATTTTCTTTACTACTCTCCAAAAAAGAAAGTATACCAGAGCTACAAAATTCATTACAAATATGCTATATTCTCTAAAGTTTTAATACTATGTTTATTAAAAACAATCTTATATTGGTTTCTTATTTCTTTAAGCTTATATTTTAGTTAAATACAAGATTTATATTTGAAAATATGAAAATAAACACATTCAATTAAAATATAATGAAAATATATTTACTATTAAACAAAATTAGTAATAATTTAATTTTTTTTGTAACACTTTTAAAATTTTCTTTAAAACATACAAGTCAAACATACATCAAAATGATATTGATACATTAATTAATTTCAATGGTCAAAATCTTGTGGAGTTTATTGATTGATTAATCTTTAATTTAGAAAAAGTATTACTAAATTCAGAGTTAATGAACAGATTCAACATTATTTTTATCAAAATATTAATTAATTTAGTTAGTAATAAAAATGATAGATTAATTTTACTTAAAAATATTTGTGAATTATTTATTAAAAAATAAAGATAAAAAATACGTACTCTAGATTCTTCAGCCAACATAGCATTCATATCTTGATCACTTATGGCACACATTATTTTTATATCTTGATAATATCTGTAAAGTAAACATTCATATATAAACAATTTATAAAATAATTTTTTAAATTTTAATCCATGAAAAAAAATGAAAAAATCATACCTTTCTACCCAATCTTTATATACTGGAATATCCTTAGCATAAAGCAATTTACTGCTTGGTGAATCTTTTCCTAGCCTGTGATCTGATGTAGAACAAGCATCCATAAAAGTCTGTGCCACAACAGATAAACAAGAATCAACAATATTTGATTTGTTGATATCAAATACAAAATTTGGATTTTTGATAAGGTTAACCCAAAATCGAAGAGGTAAACTAAATAAATGAAACAAATATTAATACAACAGCTTATATGTTCTGTAATACACTTGAAAAAAGTTATACCTGTTTGATTTCCACGTGTGCACAACTTCAGGATCTGTAATTCCATGCTGTAATGCTTGATCATCCAAAAAATCAAACATATACTTTATAGCTAATGGCAAAGCACTTCCACGATGAGCTATTGAAAATATTGTTTCAAACAGATCATCAACAAACTTTTGAAGAGTTCCCTAAATAAATAAATGTAAAAACAATCAGTTACAGAAAATGATAACAATAATTTGAAATTCAAATATTATTGATAATTTATATACCTTAGTTGCAAGAAGACGTGTAAGATATATTTCTGAAACCATCTTATTTCCTCTTTCACCTTCTTTTGATGGTTCCATATCATGCTTAACCTAAAGAGAAAATGTATATACAAATTTCATTATTATAGAAATATTAAAAACACTCTCTACTTTAATTTAAAGTTATATAATCAGATTATTCTAGAAAATGAGATATTATATAATAATTGATTGAAAACAAAAGATAATACAAGCTAAACATGTTTTACTGTTTAGTATGTAACAACATAAATACAATAAAGAAATATATTTACTACATTTAAATAAATAGAAATTCTTACCAGATGCCAAAATTTATAACCATCATGATGATCATGATTAAGAGGTGATGTTGCTCTACTATGAGGTGGACTGGTTTTCAGAGAAAATGGTAATGTTTCTGAAATGTTAAAATTCATTAAGATTAACTTACTACTCCACATATTAAGAAATGATCATTTGATTTAAAAAATAATTGTCATTATTAATCAAGTTTTTTCATACCAGGTTACTATCAATGAAATAATTAAGACATGAAATAAATTTCATCTAGATCAAATAATTGATGTTCTATTTTATTTGCAGCTGATATTAAATTATTAAATAATCATAATAGTCCAAAATCTTTATATCATTACAGTAGATCCCCCTATAACGCTTAGATACGTTCCACGCTAATCGAATTTTACGTTATAGGAATGAATAAATACATGATCCAATCGCAGCCCGATAGGTGGAAACTTTACGGACTAAGGCTGTTCGAAAGGTTTTCTTCTATAAAATTAACCGATTCTAGACTAATTCCACTCAACATTTCCAAAACACGTATAATTTTTTGGGAGTAATCCATATAAACTATGCTATAAACAAAAAATTATAGGATTACTTACCGAGTGTGTACCGTTCGACTACGCCGTTGCTTAAAGCTGGTTTTCATCGCGGAACAGCAC